AAGCTAGTTATAAGCACTGGGCATACACACATACCATTATATCCCAAAGACATATAGTTTGCACACAGAGCAGCAGTTTCAGCTCTTTACCAGCCATTGTCCAGGGAAGTTAGGTGAAAACATGCCAACCACAAGGAGAAAACAAAACCCTCCTTATTTTAATAGGTAGCACTCACCCAGGTGTTTCTTCACTTCAGTGTGAAACAAACAGCATGTATGTCCCATGCTGTGTCCTCCAGATGTGTGTGAATTTCCTTCTCTTTAACAGGGCTAATGCACCAAAATCATTACAAATGGGAGCTTGAAAATTGTTCATAACATTAGAAAGAGCACCATAAATTGACATTCAAAATTGACCACGTTGCCCGTGCAGCTTCTTTCATGCACAGCATGTTTTGTTGTGTCCTGAAGCACACTCAGAAAGCAGGGAGAACATCTGCAGTTCTTAGCAATTAGTATTTCTGCAGCACGTCTACCTACGCCATGCTGTGCATGTACAAAATGGTCCAAAAATAAGTATACACCAACAATCTCTAAGCAGCAACCTGTTGCTTGCAGCCTTTGCCAGATTCAGTCCAGATGGCCCTGCCCCTCCAGCCCTGTCCAGCTCCTCCCACAGCTCCTGTGGGCCTTGGCTCCCTTGCTTGGAGTAGCAGCAATGGGATCATGCACTTTCAGGAAATGGGAAATTCTAGGAAGCTGTCTTCCCTTTATACCCCACATCAGGGCAAGGATGCGGGAAATGGAGGAGACACCTTTGCTGGAGCAGCCCAGAAATGCTCACCTGCTTTTACAGCACCCACCCCCTCGGTGCTGCATGCCTGGGATGTACCTGCCTGCTCCCCACACCTTGCCTGCTCTGCCCCGTCCTGGGACGAACACCTGCACAGGGCGCTGTGTGACAGCCTCTCTTGCTGTTCTGAGCCAGAACCTGGAATGCTGGAAGCACAGGTCAGCCAGTCCCTCCTTCCAGCATAGTTATGAACAGAGAAGTTTGGGGGTTCTCTCTTTTTTGTTGTGTTTTTTTTGCTTGGTCCCTAATGGAAGGAGAGTACCACAGATTGAGACGCTACAAAATTGTGCCATGACATTCATCCCACCCTGGAGAGGGTCATGCAACTCTTGGATCCTGTCCCCACTACCTGTGACAGGCCACACAGGAACTGTCTGGCAGCTGTCAGTGGAGATTCCTCCTCCTGGGGACATGCTGACGTGGTGGCACCAGGCTGGCCCTGCAGGAGTGAATCACCACCTGGTGCAGGGGTGGTGCTCCTGGGACAATGGCAGGCCTGGGAATTGTGGGCAGCCACTCCTCCTGCTAGACAAACTTTGAAAGGAAAAGCAAACTGAGATTATTTGCCTAAGCTGCTCAACAAATCAGCACTTGTTTCTTGGAGGAAGAAAGGGGGAATGAGTTAAATATGCCAAATAGTTTTGAGGCAAGGTGACTTTTACCATTTTCACAGACCTTCCTCGTTTTTTTCCTGGTTCACTCTGGACACCAAGCTCCCCTGTCCAGTTAGCTCCACAGACAATTTACACAGCTGTCTGGAAGTGAGATGCAACCTTTTAGATAAACTTCACCCTTGGGCTTTGCTTTCTTTGACATGAGCATGAACTTTCAATGAAGCTCCCCTTTTTATCCCGCTCTCTGGATAGAGTTCTGCTCATTGTAATTCCCCCTTTATGGCTTTCTGAATCTCCAGCCTCAGGTCTCAAGTTTTTATCCACGTATTTTAATCCACGGTTGTCAAGGATTAGCCCTGGAGTGGTTTTCCTGGTTGGACAAACTCAACTAAGCATAATACTGGGTTAGCTGCAAATAAATAAAACAGCATAATGCAAATGCCTCTCCTCTTGCCGAAAGTTAGGAAAAGTTTAATCACCTCCAAGGATTATGACCTTGCATTCATCTCTGTTTAATAATATCTCACTTCATAGCAAGTCATTACACAAGCTGAAAGTGAGAACAATGAATGAAGTTCATTAGCAGTTTGATCCAGGCCAGATATGATGGCAGACAAACAGCCATGGGGACAAAAGTGCATTTGAAGTAGATGACTCCTGAACTCAGAATGCCAGGATGACAGACAGGACACTCTGGCTGTGCTGGGAGTCTTGGTTGTTGCCCTTTTATTCCCTGCTGCTGAGCATGGCAATAGAAAGGTTTTTCTGAGCCTCCAGCTGACAATTCCTTAAAGCCTGTTCAGCCCCAGGTGCACAAAGCAACCTCTGCTCCCAGGCAGCAAGATGGCTAAGCTGCAATCTAGTCACTCTTGAATTAACTTTGGGCTTTTTTTCCTTGGTGGGTTGCTTCTGGGAGAAAGGGAGCTGTCAGCATGTCTGCTGACATGAGATTGATTTGGCCTGGCTGTTCCTTGCGTCTATAGTAAGAATTTTGAAGTGTCTTTGGGTTGTGTTATCACCATAAAAGGAGTAGAAGCTGAGAATCCAAGGGGATTTCTAGTATGTATCTGAAGAAGTTGTGTAAGTGTGCAGGTTTATTGCAAGTAATATGCACATGAAGGGCACAGGAAACAAAGCTGATGGGGGCAAACTCATCTGAGGCCTTGGTTACTGTGCACTGTTGAGTGTCTACAGTGTATAATTAACTGTAAATGCAACGACAAGAAACACTGACCAGTAAGCAGCTCCTCTAAACCCTGTGAAGCTGCTTGTGTGCATAAAGTGACACAAGAGACAAAAAAGAGCTGTTGGATGGGAAGGTTCAGGATGTATCCCTCTGCACTGAAGAAAATACCAACCAGCTTTAAGACCTGATCTAGATTAAAAAGCAGAAGGGTGTAAAGAATGTCAACTAAAACATCCAGGTCTAAAATTAACATGTAGAAAGAGAACACCTAAGTAACAGACAACAGGCAAGTTTATCCTGCAACCCAGAGATGTGAAACAGCTTTTACACTTGTTGACTAGCTGCCATCAAGCTGTGGCAGCACATACACCCTACTATGCTGAGAGCCCAGCTGATGCCAGACTGGGGCAGCCTCCACCTTGCTGCAGAGGACACAAGCAGGGACTAGAAAAGAGCAACCAGAAGGATGGGTGAGGAAGATGCACCAGCTCACCAAGTCTGAACATACAGAGGGTAGGAAGGTTAGAGAAAGGGAATATCCAAATAACAAAGGAAAAACGATGATGGAATACTTTTTTTCCTTCAGAAGTAGCAAATCTGGAAGGCAGAAAGTGCTGAAGGAGAAATGCCTTGGAAAAGAGGTGAAGGAGAGTAATTTTGAATCAAAATTGTCTTAAATGTAAAGACTGAAGCACATTTTCTCCACCTGTCACTGAAAGGAGATCTCTGTAGATGCAGAACTTTTAAAAAATTACTTTCAGGCCATGTTGCTTCTGACATCAGAGCATTTTGTGAAGCAAGGCTTTGGGACTAATGGCATACATCTCACGGGCTGTAATTTCACTGCAGACATAAGACAAGGGCAGAGGTGCTGCAAAAACGAGCCTGGAAAATGGCAGAGGTGCACCCTGCTGTTTTGCATCTGAGATTGTTGGGTTTTTTTAATTATTATTTGTTGAATCATATCCCAGATGAACAAGCTGAGTCCTCCCCCTAGTGGCAAGTAAAATAAAAGTATCCATTATATTTTTAGTCACATCCATCTAAGGCTGCAAGTGAAATAAGGAGCATCAGACAGGACCTATTTTTTAATTAGGTCAACTGATACAGCTGGGGAACAAAAGACAATTTTGAAAAATACAAATCCTTTTCAGGAATTACAAAGAATTACTTTGAAGGCTGGTACTGCTTGAGAAAAGTTGTCAAGTTCAATATTATGGTTAATTTATTTGACAATTTGCAAGAAATGCAGAGGCTAAAACCTGCAAGTAACTTTTAGTAGCTCAACAGGCTAATTGTAATGTGCAATAATCCCATTATTTCCACTGAGTCCTTGTCTTCTAGTGCTCAATTGAATTTTGGTGTCTAATATCCCTTGAAAGCAGACTGGTTGGGAAAGTAACATTAATTACACTAATGAACAGTAAGAATGGACTCAGTAGACAAGTTGGGTTTACTGTACACAACAATTTTCCCCAACGAATGTCCTTAAACAGCTCTTAAAAACTTATCTGTAGAAAATGATCTATTTGTTATGTGAAGTTGTAACAAGTGCCTTTTGCACTAAAGGATTTTTTCCTTTAGATGACTAGCTTGGTGGATGAGGGGAGAACTGTAGGCTTTTTTTGGCTTTTGTAAAGCTTTTGTCACTGTCTCCCATGGTATCCTCATAGACAAACTGATGAAGTACCACATAAATAAAAAGGTAGTGAGGAGGACAGAAAAGATGGAAACCTGTCAGAACTGCTGGAGTAGCCCTGGGGTTGATACTTTAAACAGTCAATTAACAACCTGGATGAATGGAGAGAGCCCACTCTCTACAGACAGGCAGAAGATACAAAACTGGGGAGAACAGTTGATAAGTACATGGTTCTAATACCATTCAGAAGGACCTCAACAGGCTGGAGAAATGGGCAGAGAGGATTGTCAGGAAGTTTAACACAGGGAAATGCAAAATCCTTTACCTGAGGAGGAATAACCTGTGCACCACTACAGGCAGGGAGCTTTGCATAGGGGGATGTTGGGAGTCCAGGTGGGTAACAATTTGATCCTGAGCCAGCAATGTGCCCTTCTGGCAAAAAAATCCAACAGCATCCTGGACTCCATGAGGAAAAGTGTTACCAGCAGGTTGACAGGTGATTTTTTTTTCCCCTCTCAATTTTTCTTTTAATTTGCAGTAGATAAACACTAGGTGTTACCCTGCCCTCAACAGGATAGATATTATAAGAACAGCTGAATTGTAATGACATGGAAAAAACCACATTTTTATAATTATAAAAAGGAGAAACCTCCCTCAGCTGTGGCATTCAACATTAATAACCACTGCAACATAAATAAAAACATATTCCCCCACCCTTAGGAATGGAAACGTACGCCCTTCACCACAAAACACTGTCTGCATGCTTAAGTTTAAAAAGGTTTAATTTTTCACCCTGGTACAAAAATACAGTACAATGTGATGGCAAGGCATCTGCCAAAAAACATTCAAAGAATAAAAGAGGAACCCCTGTAAAGCTTCAACATAACCCACCCTCACTTGATGAAACAATCAAAAGGTGAGTGCACGAGGAAAAAATGAACTTTCTGCCCAAAGGCAAATAAAGATGAAACACACACAGTTCTACACAAAAATATGTTTGCAGAGCTAATAATTTCACATGCTACTTGGACATTCATGATATATATTTTCTACTTGGCTTAGTGGCAGAATTCATGATTTAGGATGTCTAGAAACCTGGCCCAATAACATGCCCCATTCATAGGAATCCCCAGTATAAACCATGGGATCACACAATGCCAGTGGGACAAGAGGGATCCAACTCTGGTAAAGCATCAAAATGTTGCCCAATTCTAGTTATTCTGATCACACTGTTTGTCCTCAAATTAAATTTTGCTGTACACACCTCCCTTTTAACACCAAACATTAGTGGCTGCTCCAATACACAGATGTGTTTGCATACTACCTAGTTGCAAATAACCTTTATATTACAAACAGCCAAGCAGAGAAGGAGATAACACAGTAATTGATGCATATGTGTGAACTCCAAACAGGGTTTAACCTAACATTATTGACAGGAGAATTAAGTCCCTCCAGTGCACCTACATTCTTTGTCTTTATAATAATTTCCTTTGAGAGTTTTGAAGTGATGGAAAAGGATCATTCTGTGTATTCATTATAGTTCATCTCCCAGGTGTTTTCGTTTGAAAGCATCACCCGTTAGCTTCTCCTGGGCCTCCTTCATCCCTTGGACAACTAAAAGATTGAAGACAGCAACCATTAATCTCAAGATGAAAACATTAAGGTGTCCCAGTAATGAATGTGTCTTAAAATAACACAGTTGCAGAATGCAGCTCTACAAATTAACCTGTGGGAAAAAAAACAACCACTGCTGTGTTCTTTTCCCAACTATTTGTAGCTGGATCATGCAAACTGCATGATTTCCCATGCTCAAACTGGTAGGTACTGAGGCAAATCATGATTCTGAACGTAGTTCCTCAAGAAAACCACTCACCCTTGTTGTATCTAACAGCTCCCAGTTAGGCTGTAAAGTATCATTTCTCTCCACTCAAAAGTGAAGGTGTATCCTTCAGTCAGGACACACCAGAGTTCCATCTCACTATAAACGCACTTCAAACTACTTTGCACATACCTTGATCAGCGTTGGTATAGAAATACTTGTAGCTTGGGTTTCCTTTCTCATTTATGATTTCCGGGTGGACTTTTCCACTGGGATCTATGAAACAAGAAATCAAACAGGAAATTTAGGTGGTAACAGTAAGAGCACAGTCCTGTGAGCGGATACAACAGCTGAGGATGCCTCACCCATGAAAAGGATTCTGGGAATGTAGCCTCCATCAGGACTAAAGGCTTCATCCTTTGGCTCTTCATCATCCTACCAAAGCAAGACAAAAGAGAGGGAATATATTAGCAAGGTATCTAACAAAACAGAACTCATTCTAAAGAAGAACTCATTCTATTACCTCCAGATTCCATTTCCCCTGAGCAATTTACATCTTGAACAGACACTAGGTAACTGCAGTATCTCCCACTCTCAAAGGGAAGAAAGTTGTTTTCACCTAAACAAGTATCGTTTGTGAAAGTAACAGTACTTTTTTCTCTCCTGCGAATTTGCATTAAATGCTCCACTTTGCTGTAGGAATGTTTGTCATGTCATGAGAGAATAAAAATTCCTTTATTGCAGCAGCAGAATGACACAAGGTACAAACTGTTAAAGAGACAATGGCAGAGTCAGGTTTATAAACACAATTAAAATAACCAGACTGGAGAAAGTTCTTTTTAAAACAATCAGTTATATCAATCAATCCTGAATACCTATTCAGGCATGCACGATTTAGGATGCACACAAAGCAGGATGCAACCAGTTAAGCAGGATTCCAAATGATTAATTCCTAGGCAGTCACATGGATACAAATGAGAGGGCAGCCTACCTCAAGGTTGACCATGACAAAATTATGGGCAAGTTCAGAGATCTCCTTGGATTCAGCAAATTTTGGCTTTAGAGCTAATTAAATGGAAAAAAGAAAAAAAACAGAAAAAAGATGAGTCAAGTCAGTAGAAAAGATGTCAGGTTTTCAGGTCAGCATCAAAATCAAACAAGTAGTGAGTAAATGGAATGTATGTGTCAAACCACCCAAGCCAGGCTCAGAACAGCAGGGAACTGAAGCAATCCCTGCTGAGAAGCCAGAAGACCAAGCCTGACCAACAGACATACATGGTCATATCTGAACCAATGGCACAGAAGCAAAAGGTTTTATATAAACCACCAGTTCTCACTCAACTGCCTCATCCTTTCAGCTTAGCCTTAATGTCCAGCTTGTTTCTTTGGAATACTGAAAGAGACAAAGCCTCACTTTGGAAGAATCACCAGCTCTAAGTAAGGCAATTTACAATTCATTCTTGAAGATCATTCATTCTGTTTCATTTTTTTAAAGCCAAGTGCAGGAGAAATTGCAGACACTACAGAAGGGCAGTATTACAGCTGCTAGTTTACTGGCACTTTGACATGGCTGCCTTCTGGCAGTGCTAACAGATAAAGTGGTGCAGTGAATTTTAAATATAGATTTCATTTTTCTCATTATTACACGATTTGTATACAAAAGTTCATTAGAAAGTTCAGCAAGCTCTAGTATTAAATACACTTACCTTTGCAAGCTCCACACCAGGACTTGTGGATGATAACCATAAGAGGCAAACCACTGAAAAAGGACGAAACAAAATAGTCAAAGCAAGTTTACAGTTGAGCCTCCAAACCAAATTCTATTAGATGTACATTTTAACAGTCAAAACTTCTACAAAGGCTAAATATAACAAAAAAAATAAGAGAGACATAAAGAGTCTCTGCTGCATTCTAAGTTTGTCTTGCAAAAAGTTTTCCCAATCTTTAAACATGTAATAATAATAATTTATTGTAAATACCAGTGAAGAACTGCTCATATAGAGGAGGAGACTTCCTCTTTGGAAGGTTAGCTCAGATACACAACTGGTGATGCAATTTTTTTTAACCAAAAGTGCTTAGTGACACCAGTTGAGAGATCCCAGGATGGATTTTCCTGGCTGCTGACGGCAAATCATGGGATGACAGCTGTACATTCATCCCTCTCCCAACTACGGTCCGTATGTTTCAGTCACCACCTGTGACCAAGGCCCTATGTGAAGTAGGAATCCAACAGAGTAACTCAGCAAACCCTCTGGCTGCCAGGCTTGCTTCTTACATGTTCCATGCTGAAACAAACCTGTGACCAATGTAGCAAGTGCTAGGACTGAGAGGAGAGGGGAGGCCTGTGGGGAACTGCAGCAGATTCAAGTGCAGTGTGAAAGGATCAAAGTTATTCTTTATTACTCTCTCTCTTCCCAGATAACTCACCTGACCCTTACTACACAGCTTAAGTTTCCATCACCCTGAGATATGCTTTATCCCTGTTCTTCAGAAGTCCCTTTAGTATTGTACCTTCTGACAAAGTCAAGCTTACCAAGCTTCATTTTGCTAAGATCCTTTATAACATATTCAGGCTACATTACATGATTAGACAAGAGGCCTTAGAAACACAATGAATTTCCCTTATTCCCTGATTTTAGTGGTGATCCAATTAATCCTCCAGCTCACTGACCCTGACCATTTTGCAGCAATTTTACCTTTCCAACAAAAAAGTGATACAGCTACAGGTGACTTTTGTTGTTGTCAAATCCATCCAGGTAGTACAACACTTACCTACACAGTTTGTGTGTGCACAAGTCCTTACTAACACCTTCACTGTTTCCACCAACAGTTGAAATGGTCAAAGCTGACTAAGGCAATCAGCCAAGAAAGACTAAGAACAAGAATTGGGTATTTCATCCTAATAAACCCCTTAGGTTGTGGAAGAGTATCCAAGGGAAGCTGGTAATAATGATACAGCTTCCAGAACAGTAAGAAAACCCCAAAACTAGGTGAAAGAAAGAATACGGGCAGACACACAGAAAACATACTACATGGATAATTCTTCAAGGATTTGCCAAGCAAAATTTAAGCTGTTTCCATTTTGGGGCTTAAAATGAAGATCTTCTCACAGAGAAATTACAAACACCTTTGTGCATGATGGCAACCAAATTAACTACTTGCCAAAATGAAGTACAGGTTTTCTTTTAGCTGTAGATAGATATGAAAGAAAATCTCTACTTAGCAGCATTCAGTTATGGCCTTCAGAACCAGGAATGGGTGGAGAGGAAGCAATTAACATTTAGAGTAGTTCAAACAGAAGTCTGCCATTTATTACTAACCAATTCTTTACACAGGGCTTCGTTTGCAGTATATTTCCCTAGTAAAGCTGGTATTGCAGCAGTGTCCTGATGATGAAAAAGCACTTCTTTCCCCATTGTTTCCATACCCTGCAACATGATTTTGCCTCTTTCTTGAAAGGCTCATTTAAGTCTGGAAAATACAGATTGTTCCTATCATCATGGATCAGTGCTTCCTGTCAGAAGAGTTCAATTATCTGGTAATCAGCAGTGCAACATACTTTTCTTTTTTTTTTAAGTTAAGACAGATTTTCAAAGCAGATTTTAAATGGAAGTGCATGCTGTCTTGAAATACCAACTCTTAGCAAGCGTGAACTCACAGAAGTTTTAGAGATACTGTATGTATTTTCTCAGCTGTGTTCTATTTGTCTGAGAATATACACTTATTTACATCAAAACATTGTTGTAGTCATTTCAGGCTCCACTTCACTATTCCCTCCCATGTAGCACTACACATATAATTAAAACCAAAAGCCACAATTTATTGAAATGAGGGACAAAGCATCCACCAGAAAGTGAAAAGTTCATATAAGCTAATATGTGGTATAGTAAAGACTGAAATTAGTTGAAAAGAAGCACAAAACTGAGTTACCCGTCACAGCACATACAGACCCATGGGAGTTTCACCCAGAACAGACATTGCCATTTTAGCTCACTGTCCTACAAGAGCACTTGAACAACTAGTGTTTTTAAAATGAGGACCTTGCAGAGAAAAGACACAGCATTGTTTCAAAAAAATTACTCCTGCAGTAAATTAAGACTTCATTCCATTTAAGGCACAAATTTTACTGCTAAACCTGAAACAAAGAGGTGAGTTTGCTAAGCTAAGCCCCTTTCTGTTGCCCTGTTTGCATATCCACCTCTCAGGTTCAGTGGGATATTCTGAAAGAGTCACACCCTAAAAAATATAAGCTGTTCCAGTTCCAGAACTGAAGTCTCTCCTGCAGTTTGACATTATCGGGAGGCAGTTTGGGAAAAACAATCTTCTTATTCAAGATATACACATCCCAGTGTGAAGGGGAAAACATGGGCTTTCATGTCCAGACACCAGCTGATGACTGGGGTCTAGGTCTCCACAGGAGACTCCACTTGCTTGGGGATGCAAAAGTAGCTCTCCCGTTTGAAAGATGCAAGCGAGGAGGATGTGGGAGCTGAGCAGCACCCCTACAGATCCTCTCAGCAATGTAGCTTGCTCAGCGGCTGCAGGGACGTAGCATCCATCTTCCCAGAGCTGCTCCTACTGCATCTGATTCGCGGCAGGTGGGACGCGGGCTCTGGGGCTTTGTGGCTGGAAGGCACGTTCTTCCTGCTCCCAGCCCTTGGGGAGCAGAGCGCGGCTCAGGCGGCCGGGCTCACTGGATGCTGCGGCTCAGGTACTGCAGGCACAGGCTGGCCAGCTGGGGCAAGTTCTCGTCGCTGGGCTGCATCTTGGTGTAGCTGATGAACTGCCTCCGCAGCCGGCTCAGCTCGGCCAGGCTGACGGGCCTGCTCAGCACCAGCCCTTCGGCCACGCCGGGCACTCGGACCAGCTCCCCGGGCTGAGCCCCGCTCCTCTGGGCGGCCACGACGGCGTCCAGCACGTCCTGCGTGACGCGGTCCAGGCGGTGCAGGAACCCGCAGGACTGCAGGGGCTGCGCGCGGGTGGCGCGGTGCGGGGCGGG